CATCCCACAATATCGTGACCATAGCTTTTGCGGCTGATAGAACTGTTTCTGCGTTCTTCGAAACGGAAAAATCCATTGTGACTGTCTCATAGTTTGTGGCTTGTAAAAAGTACGGGGGGTTTCATTTAAAGCGATCCATTGTTGGTTGACGCTTGTCCTCCACTACGGGCAATCGCGACACCCTCTGAGAATCGAGTCACTTTTATTTCTTTGCATGTTTCTCCACTCAAAATTAAACAATATAGAACGCTTCGGTCGAGCAAGCCCGACAGTAAAATAGCCTATACTCTCCACAAAAAAAAAAAAAAAAGAAAAGTTAAATTATTAAAAAAAAATTTGCATAAAAAAAAAATCAAACTCGTACTTTCTCGGTCTTAGGAGAATATGGAAACCAAGTTTGGTTATTCTAGCTCTTATACTTTCTGAGATCCTTGCGTTCATACGGACAGACAGACGGACGGACGGACAAGGCTATACCCACTCGGCTTCTCATCCTGATCAAGAATATATATCCTTTGTGGGGTCTGACACGCCTCCTTCTGTGTGTTACATACATCCGCACAAAACTAGTATAGCCTTTCACCCTTTGGGTACAGGCTATAAAAATGAATTATGGATTGATATTGCGTTTGTTTCATTTGATCAATAAATACCCAACACTTGTAACTTAAAACTGCATTTTTGTGATATTATAGCTTTTAGACGATGGTACAGATTTTTTACCAAAGACGGATGTCTATTGATTAGCCATCGTAAAATATTACATAGGTATTTATATATTTGTATTTTTTAATACTAAACTAGTAAAGTTTCCAAATATGATGCTAGTCATATACAACAAAAGACTATACCAACATTTTTATACCCTGTACCCGTAGGGTAAAAAGGGTATATTAGGTTTGTGCAAAGTATGTAACATGCAGAAGGAAGCATCTCCGACCCCATAAAGTATATATATTCTGAATCAGCATGACGAGAGAAATCGATCCAGACATGTCCGTCTGCCCGTCCGTCTGGATGAACGCAAGGATCTCAGAAACTTTAAAAGCTAGAATAACCAAAGTTGGCATCCAGATTCTCTTAGGTCCGAGAAAGGACGAGTTTATTTTATTTTTTTTTTAATTTTCCCCCCCTTCCCCCGCTGCAGAATTTCGTCAATAGCGTCCACATTTCAAATGCTACCTTAACCAAACTTTGCACACACAATTTATATATAATTGTCTACTGTTGTTCAAAATTTTATTCGGTCAATTCTAAGAAAAGTTATTAGCGAAACAAATTCTCGCCAGTACAACCCCCACAAACTGCAGTAACAAGTTCGATCTTCTTCTTCCTCTTTTTGCTGCTGCTATGGGCGCATATAACTCAGTGACGGAAGTTTACCTGGGTACAGGGTATTACACTGTCAGGCTTGCTCGACTGTAGCGTTCTCTCTTGTTTATCTCTATTTTCTTCTTTCTTAAGCACGCTTTTAATCCTGTTATAACACATTTTAACTGACTGTCCCTTAAACATTCCCCAACTTTTTTTTAGTCCCTCTGAAGACAACAAACTGCTCTTATGTATTATGTATTATATAGTACAAAAAGATACATTATAGCTCAATACAAATCTGTCTCTGGGTTATACTTAAGGTCGCATCGCTATAGCTTAGACTACCCGAGCTACTACTATCTGTAAAATTAATTTCTTTTAAGGTACATATAAATAAATACAAAATAGAAATAAATAAATATGTTTCTTATTTTGAAAGCGTTTATATATAACTTAGGAGATTCATCTTAAGAAGTATGCAAGCATTTCCATTGTAGCTCAGTCAGCTGCAGTCCTCCATTTTATTTTTATTTTTTGACTGCTTCCCATTGGTATTTATAGCCCATTATGCACTTTTGTTCGAGCATTTTCCAGTTGGCGGAAACGTTCGTCCGATTTCTTTTACAAAATGTGTAAATTAAAAAAATGTCCAACAGCTCGGCTAAAACAAAAACAGCAACAAAAACATCGCCATACAGCCGTACAACAGCAACAAAAAGGCAATGGGTTCGTTCACCTTTCGCCTAATTATCAAAATACATAAACGAAACGCACCACCAAAAAATCGAGCTATAAGGCGCGTGCAAAAGAGTCAAACATTGAGTCAGTCTGTCTGTTTGTCCGTCTGTCAGTCAGTCGGACATTTAGTCAGTTGGTTGACGCGACTCGACAACTTCAATGAAATCAATTTAACGATAATAACTTTTTGAAAGCAGCAGTAAGAGCAGCAACAACAACTACAACAATAGCAACAAGCGCCTGTGAAGCCCTGCCGCTGCACAGTGGGCCAGTTACGACGAAAACGATGAATTCAAGTTCGCCATTACGGTTAAAAAAAAAAACAGCATATTCTTTGAGTCGATTAGTTCTAATGAAGTGACATTCGTCTAAATATTAGTAAAAAGGATAGATAGGATTCAACAGTCGGAACACATGTTTCACATTATTTAGTCTATTAATTATGGGGATTTGTAATATTTTTGTTTTTTATAAATATTGGGACATTTATTCAATACACTGAAATAAAGCTTAAGGAGTTTAGAGCATTGCATATGAACACTTATTTTCATTCTTTGATTTGAAATTTTAAACTGACTTTAGTCTCTAGCCTTTTATACTTACATTCAATTCGTATTATCTATAGTCCTGCTGTGTTTTCTTTGCAGCCGAGCTGTAGAAATTACCTTTTCTTCAATGTCTATTTAAACAGACAAGTAATGCTCAAAGAGAGGGGTTTTAAAGTACTACCTTCATATTAGTATTTGGGTAATATTTAACCGGTTTATATTTAAACAACAAAGGCAAAACAGATCTACTAAAATATATAATAAGCATTATTTGTGATATAATGTAAATGAAGTCTTTCCAAATGAGATGCTAACGTGGAATTCAATCTAAAATTCTAAAAATATTCTGTTGTTACAAAGAAATTAAGAAAACAAAATAGAATATACTTAAAAGCTGGAATTTAATAATATACTACACCAACACTTCATCTAATTAAGGGGGAGGCGATACACCAATCTACTACCAAACTGACTGCGTAATACAAACATTACTAGCCAGTAATGAACTTATTAGCTGCTAGAGACAACATTATTATTATTGTCATTGTTCAGAACTAACTATATTTCTGTATTCTTGATCTGTTTTTAGGCTTTTGAAACATGTCGCTGGAGAACGTTCTTATCAAAAACAAAAACTTGTCTCTGACAATTTCAAAGCTATATTTTTAGGTACAGCAAATTAAGTGAGTATTAGTTACTGAAATGGTTTTTGCTGACAACATTTAATTATTTATTTCAAAAATTAATAATTCAAAAATTATTTTGTTTTTGGGCAATGTATGAGCTGCTTGTACCACTGTGCGCTGCCGCTACGCTCTCGTAAATGGGCATAAACATTGAATCAGCCGCCGTAGCCGCCATGTACCGTTGGAAATTTCTTGCTTTTTCTTTTCTCGACGTATATAAATTTTTATGTATTTTGTTTTTTGTTATTGTCTTGCACAAATGTAGGTCAAGTTATAATGTGTGCCTGTGTTTATGTGTGTATGTGTGTGTGTGTGTGGTGTAGCTTGTGGGACGTTGACGAAGGCTTGGTACACATGCGTACCAGCCATCCAGTGAGCCAACCAGTCAGCTAGCCAGTCAGTCAGTCAGTAAGTCATTCATTCAGTCAGGTGACGTTCGAGCCCGGCTAAAAGAGCTGGCGGTCTTTTCTAGTCGCATCCAAGCAGTCGACTTTCACTTAGAAAGTTCTGCTTGCGGTTATTGCGTTGTCTGCCTTTTGTCTGTATGTATGTGTCTGTCTTTTTGTGGTAGGGGCGTTATGAATGCTGCAGATGTAAATGATATGAATGAACAGCGAAGCCAATCAGCCAGTTCGCCTTTAACTGGGTCAATACGCAGCAAGTGTGTGTGGCCTGAGAAATATTTTGTTTGCCTGTGTATTTCGCAGGCAGGCATCAAATAAAAAGTCAAACATGTGCGTATAAGGCTGTTAAAGCTAAGAAAACAAACACTCACACACACACACGCACACATGCGCATACACGTGCACGCGTTTCTAATTGCATTGCCAATGCAAAATGCATGCTTGACGGCGAGCTTTCCGTTAGAGCAGCAGTAGCTGCAACAACCTTGCCAACAACAGCTGCTGAGAGTAGATTTCCCTGAACTTCAAACCGAGCAACGACGACGGAAAAGCTAAAGCGTCTGTCTATTTATAGCTCCATGCTTGATACTCATACTCAACATCCGCATGGCGTCTGCGTTGGCGCTTCCTGCTGGAAAAACTTGCGAGAGCGATTCTAGCCGGAGCTTTGGGAGAGGAGGCAAGCGCCAATTCGCTACTCGCTCTCGCTCTTGTAAGATCTACAGCAGCTGGGCTGCATTCAGAATGCAGTTCTATTTAATGGCTCTCTCACTCTCCCTCTCTCGCTCGATCTCTCTTTCGTGCTGCTGCTGCTGCTGCGTGTTGCTGTTGTTGTTGTTGCACTATTATTGACCTAATCACTTGTGGAGCAGAAACGAACATTGAACTTTTACTTCCGCATGCATTGCATGCGCGTTTTGTTATTGTTGTTGTGTTTTGATATTATGATATTTCTCTTTGTGCTGCTGCTGCTGCTGCTGCAATTGTTGTTCCTGTTGTTGTAATTTCCTATGAAAAGCTGTCAAGCTTGTTGGGGGGAGTGTGGCGGGGACTAGAGTTGACATTAATTAATGCACAAAGATTCATCAAATATGTATGCGCTGGCCGTTTGGAAAATCATATTTTAAAAGACGCTGCTGCAACAGCAATTTGTCTGCAGCACAGGTAGGTGTGTGTGTGTGTGTGTTGTCGAGTGGAAAATCTTGTAATTTAATGCGACAATTTTGCGCGCCTTGGGCGGCTCTGGGCGGGCCGTTGGCTAAGGAGGAAGACAAAGCTGCTGTGGAGGGAAATAAAAACAAGAGCAGGAATTTGTTGCATACTTTAAATATGTTTCTCTTTTAATATTACATTTTAAATATGTGTGTGTATGTTGTTGTTGATTTATGGTTGTTGTTGTTGTTGTTGTTGGTGTGTTATATAAATAGCGTATAGTGCTTATAGTCTAAAAATTGACGCTTTCTTTTTACAAAATAATGAAAATAAGTATAATGGGAAAAACGATCAAATAAATTGTTTAAATAAATTTCGCATACAATGAAAACGATTAACCATAAATTAAACATGTCAATAAAATGTGCATAAATACGTTTCTAGTAATGAAAGGCATTCTCTATAACTCTATACTCGAACATTTTGAAGTTGTGTGCGGCTTTTGAGTTTGGCTCGTAAATATGACACTAATAGTTTATATGTTTTATGGATAGCTGATATATGTGTATATATATTTATAAGTATGTATGTATAACATATATATAGTATGTGTGTGTGTGTGTTGTGGTTGTTGTTGTGGTTTGTGAACAGTTTCAATGCAATTGAACAATATTTAAATTAAATTATCATAATAATAAATAATTTATGATATACTAGTATGAAGTATGTATGTATAGGTAATTAATTATACAAGAAATCAATAACGCTATTAACTAAACACAAAATTTCCAGTGCATTTCCTTAGCGTTGCAACAGCACTTTCTTCTTCTGCGGCAGCTGGAAGTCTCCTCACGGCCGCGCAGGCGCAACCAACGCGCGCCTCCGATCATACCAATAGTTAATTATTGGCAATATATACCTTCTCAAATGTTTAACAAATTAGTAAGGCAAAGGCGGTGTTTCTGTGTGTGGGGTGTGAATTGTGTTGGTGTTGCTGCTGCTGGAAAGCGCACTTAGTATTGCCCTGTAGGATCCAGGCAGTTAACACGCTGCTTGTGGCGTGTCTCGCGCGTGTCACGCGGCCGACGATAGGTGCCTGTAGGATCAAGCATTTTGTGGCTTAAGTTCTTTATTTTTCTTTGCAAATTTGTGGTTTATAGCTGCTGGGCTATAGCTGTTTACTAGCAATGAAGGCTTCCTCCTAGTAGGTGCCTGTGGGATCCAGAGCCAGCGACATTGTTTTGAATTGGTGTTGAGAAGGTTTGGAGCGCAAAAAATTGGTTAAATCTGATGCAATGGATTTTGTCACTCAATATTGACCAGTGGGATCCAGATAGGCGGCCATTTTAATAGAAATATGTTCCTTTAATTCTTTTTGTGTGAGTTGCTGCTTCCGTTTAGCGTCTCTTCTCTCAATACTGACCGGTAGGATCCAGATAGGCTGCCATTGTAAGATTAAAAATTTGCCGTGCCAAAAATATTTCAATGATTTCAGCTGAGTTGCTCACGCACTTGGGTAGCTGGGTAGCTGCTGTTCCTTTGTTTAATTTAAATAAAGTTTATGCTGTCTGTTTATTTATTGAACTTTATACTGGTTCTCTCAGGCGTTCGCACGTTGTTGTTGTAAGTTCTTTTATCACCAGCGAGACGTTGTTGTTCTTGTTGTTGCTTGATTATACAGCGACGCGTGTGTATTTTTTTTTTTTTTTTTGTTTTTTTGCTTTGTTACGACGTTTTTTCTATATAGTTTTGTTTTTTCTTTTGTGTTTATGAAAAAGAGTCACTGACACTTAAAATCCATTAAATATTTGTGTCTATGGATTTGTCTTTATTGTTTATTAATTTCAGCGGCAGTTTGCCTATTTTGCTTTGTTTGTTTTGCTCTTGGTTGGAGGAAAAGTCTTACGCGTACACGCAATGATCCAAAAAATAGTTTTACAATTTTCTAGGTAGACTTTTTGTTGTAGCCTTTATGTTTCTGGGACGTTTTAACATTTGTCACACGGCAAAGAAACAAAAAAATGTTCACTCGGTTGAATCGTTGACTAACTGACTGGCTGACTGACTAACTGATCTGCACTCGTCGAACGTTGTCGATCTTATGATTTGATTTTCGTCAAGTCGTAAGCTTAAATGCTCGGCCGCAACGCACAGCGTCGTCGTCGACGGCATTGGAGTGCGCATTGAGCGCGCCGAGCAGCAACGGCGTGCAGTCGACGCAGAAAGAGAGAGGTAGATGGGCAGGTGTGCTGCTCTTAGGTAGGTGAGAGCGTCTGCTCTTAGCTGTGCGGCATTTTCATTCATAGTAGCTGCTGCTCAGCGGCGCTCAGTACAAGCCGGCTTAAATGCTGGCGCTGTTCTCATACATTTATGTATGTGTGTGCAAAGGTATGAGGGCAACGCAGCTACTCGCACACACATGCTCACACCCACCTGGGTTTCATTGAAGAAACAGCTGTTTTTGTCGAACTGCGACACGATCGAGTGCCCTCGTTATGCGACTGTCATTGTATGAGTGTTTATGTGTTTCTGTGTGTGTGTGTGTGACGCCTCTATGTAGCTGTGTGAGGGTTTGTTATGGTCTGGCTTCTTTTTTTGTCAGATTTGTTAGGCAGGTAGACGCCAGCTTGATCCTATCCGATGCTGATATCTCTTTTGGCTCTATGCCGATTGGTTGCCCCTGACCAAGATCCTGAATCTTGGCTCCACCTACAGCAACAACCCAGAGTATGTTTCGTGTGTCTGAGTGTGTGTGTGTGTGTTTGTGGTGCTGTTTAGAACTCTGACTAACTACAGACATTTAGCGCTAGTTGATAAGCATCTTTGCAGAGTCCGAGCAAACCGCTTATCCTGGACCTTAGATGACTTTGCAAATCGTTTAAGCGGTTGTCACAATTGTTGGTTGTGAGGACAAGTAGACAAATAAAAAGACACCTTGCAAGCGCAAAACACTCGGAAAAAAATTTTTTTTTAAATTCAATCAAATATGAAATTTTTGTAACATTGTGCAAAATGTTTGTATTTAAATAAAGAAAACTACTGCCGATTGTTAGATTGTTTATTAACGAATGAGTAAATGAGAAGTCTGATCTTTTTAAATGCTATAAAGCACAATACATTAATAAGAAAACCAGTTAAACCAATTTATAAACATATTTCTGTACTGATATTTGGTCATAGTATCAGTTTTTAGATATACTTGTATATCGGCCTGGCACCATGCCAAGAAAAACAGAGAGAGCTTTATTTTCGGAGTTGTAATTAATCGTTATCACCACTTGACAAACAAGCCATTTTAAACATTTTAAATGATATACCTATTATATACTATAAGTAACATTTTTTTTACAATAATACTAATATATATAATTGCAATACTTTATTTGATGATTGAATGAGAGGAAGATCTGAATATTTCCCAGAAATAAATTCATATAAGAATAAAATAATGGGAAAGAAATGAAATAAACTAATTTAAATTAAAATAAAAAACTTGACAAATACGTTTTGAAATTACCAAAGGACATATATGAAATTTAAAAGAATATCACGCATAAGATCAGATAGGATCTAATAAACGAACATAATAATAAAATAGCTTATTTGGATATTAAGTTGCGAAAAGTATGGTTCCAATCGCAACTGTACAAATTATAAAAATATTTGACATACAAGTATGTACATGTTCATTACTTTAATTTATTTTCGATTCCTACAATTTAACTGCAATATCACTCTTTCGTTGGCACACCTAACGTAGAGTATTAACTAAGGAGTTCCAATACAGGTACATATTTAAGCTTTCTAGTATACATATGTACATGCAAATTTTTGGACAGAACTGATGCTACCAGATCTACACTCAAAGCAAAAAGATCATCGATATGATTCTATTCAATCATAAATTAGAAACTTTCGGGCATAATTTTTGCCATCAAGCTCGGATTTGAAACAAAAGAACATCTATTTTGGAGCTAAAAGCCGGAGAAATCAACAATTTTTTTTGGTTTAATTTCAAACATTTCTAACAAAATAAATAAATTGAATACAAATTTAATGCATTTTAAGAAAAATCTGATGTTATTCTAAAGAGAGTTGACAATCGATTTGCATTCAAAAGGTATTTAATATCTGATCCAGCTTATAATGGATTATATAGAGTTTTATTGTAATTGTTTTGAAACCTATCTTGGCTTACTTAAGCCATATCCTTCAATTGAAGCCAAAATAGAGGTCTATCAGTGCTTTCCGAGATTACAAGTGCTTACATATTATTGTATTGGAACTGAATAGAATTGTTAAGTTAATTGATAATTGCTATAATTTATTGACTGTTGGTCAAAAGCAATCAGAAAAGAAATTTTCAAGCCTCTTTATTTCTTTGAGTGTACCTTAGCTGACGCAGTCATTTTAGCCAGCAGCTTCTCAGTGTCGCCGTTGCTCAAACAGCGGTCCTGCCAGATCCTTTTTGCCTTAAATGTGGCGAAATGCTAATGTTTTTACGACATAAGCCCGAAATTAATGGTCTTTACCGGTTGCTGCCCACTAAACGTGACATTTGCGGTGGTAGCCTAAGCCACATGAGGTAGCCGCTCGGCTCAAAGGCTTAAGCGGTAGGACGACGGCAGTCGCTCGCATCATAAAAAGGATAAACATGAGTCAGCAATGCAGACGCTTCCGTGAAATGCGAAACCGAACACGACAATGTGCAAAATAAAAATGTTGCAGAATTGCATTTTTTGACACTCTTTTTTTCTTTCTTTTGGACGCCAAGACAAGTCAGCTGTTGCGACTGCCCGCCTCTATAGATCGCGGCAGTTTATAAGATATAGATGTAGATACAATGGGAAACATAAATCCTTTCGTTTTATGGCAACGTAAAAAACGCCGAAAGTGTGTAGCTGCCAAAAATCATAAAAGAACTTCCGGCACGGGCCTAGACAGCAGCAGCAACCCTTTGGCACGGGCCTTCCAAGTTGATTGGATAGATTGGGCCGCTGCTTTGGGCAGCTCTAGGACTCTATCGAGAGTGCTGTGCTGTGGCACAACTGTCGTTGGTGCCACTAAGGCGGCAACATGGTTGGGGTGCGCGCTTGGTCGCCTCCGTTAGATTGTTTGCTTTGTTTTTTGTGGGCTCCCCACTTCACCGGCTGTCAGGACCAGATCAGACCAGGAGTGGCGAGCGGATGTGCCGCATTTTCGCACTTCCGCTTTTCCTTTTCACTTTTCAAATGTATATGTAGTGTTTTTTTTACCGGTATGCCGGAGAACTCGATATGCATAATTTGGGTTTTCGTTTTCGTTGCACCTTTTGTCCAACAATTTCCATGGCCACGTGCCAAAAGGTAACAACAAACAGCACAAGAACAGCAACAACACAACAACAAAATAAACATTTGTTGGCACAACTGCTGCTGCTGGTGTCTGTCTGTCTGTCTGTCTACCTTTTCTTGCTTCGTAAGCCAACTGGCATCCACTTTTCCTCGCATTTGTTTTGTAATTCGATCAATTTTTGGAGCATTAGGAAGATTCACTTTTAAGCGTTGGCTTCGATTACGCAACGTGTGTTTGTTCTTGAGAATGGCTCGTCTCATGGGAAATGCAAAAAAAAAAAAAAAATATGGGTCAATGTTCCGGCATGTGTTGTGCTTTGATTTCTGCACAATTAACAGTAATTCTGCTGGCATTAACTGCTGACTTTTCTTGCTCTTGCTCTTGCACTTGGCCATGCAAATGCTGCACAAAATCAACTTGAATTTTTTGCCCACTACCTTCAACAGTTAGCATTTTCTTTTTTTTGATCAAAGAAACCTGTTGTTGTTGTTGTTGCTGCAACGTCGAAAATTCGAGCAAAAAATGTGTGGAGTGGCGGGCAGTGGCTAACTGCTTAGTGCTAACTGCTGACTGGACTGACGTGTGGCCAGCATGTTTGTTAGCTAGATGGCTTGATGGCTTGACGAGACTTGGCCCCCACACTTCTCCGAAATTAGACAAACTTGCAGTGCTTACAGTTACCGTTAAGCAGCTGTCACCAGTGACCCAAATTTTTCTGGAGCAACTAGCAGCAACATTGTAAAGATTCAACATCACCTTACCATCTTGGCAGCAAAGGCAGTATCACAATGTTGCTGATCTAGCAATGTTTGCGATTCTCTTCAAATCAGTGCGACAGAAAATGGTAACAACTTAGAGGCCAATTAAGTGAGCAGATAAGCCGACGCAACACAATGATGCCAAGAATATTGTTCAACAACATGGTACTTATACTTGTAAGGCCAACAACCAAAATTAAGGAGTTCAAAGCAATGAGGGTAGAACAATTTATTTCCCGGCTTCTTTTCTATGAAAACAAACTGGATGATAATATTGTATTAGATAAGATTGGATTAAGAGCCTTTTTCCAGCTAAAAAGCGATTTCTTTGTTGACCAAAGTTGATAACACAAAGATCAAGCAATGTGAATAAATTTCAAAAAAAAATATATAAAACCTTAGAAATGGTATAGAAAATTAATGAAACCCGTTCTCAGAACATAAATACCTTTTTTTGAAAACTAAATTCAATCAGTTGAAACAATGCTTAGGAATCCAGGGAACCCAAACTTGGAAAAGTCCCCAATGATTCTGAGAGTAGATGGCATTGAAAAGTCCCTAGAGGCGATCACCTGAAACCTAAACTGCGTCCTGTACGTTAAAATCATTCTTCCAATAATTTGAAATCGACTTTTTGGAGTTACAATTTGTAAGGCAAAGAAACGAAACATAATGCAAATGCATCAACAAACACGCATAGCTTCAAAGGCTTTTGACGCACAGCTAAAGTTTTGGAGCATAAGACAAATTTATTTAACCTACGATAAGGTATCCTAGATAAGAAAAACTGTGACTCATTTTTTGTCAAATCTTGAATGCTCTTCGCGCTTGCCACTCAAGCCACTCACTTTTTCGAGAATATTCCTTTGTTGCAATCGCTGTGGATGTAAACCGCAATGCTAACTTGCTGCAATTTCCATTACACACCGTTAAACACAAAAGCAAACAATCGAAACCGTATTTTAAATTGTTTTACATAAATTCCGAAGCT